CCTGTGTTTGGGTCCTGACTGGTGTGGACTTCTTTCTCATACAGGTTAAAAGATTTCTTTGGAAATGTCTTCATTTGCTAAGCAAAATGGTGCACTGATGTCAAGTATCTCTTATAATTCTCTTTGAATTCATCCTTTCCTATAAATGTATCTCCTTCAGGAAGAAAAGCCAACCTTCCCCCCGGTAGATGGTGAAATGCATCTGAGTGAATGTATAGTTTTATTGCTCCATCTAAATATGGTGATGCTCACAGGATTACTACTGAGGTGGATAAAACAATGTTTAATTAAATGACTTTATAATGATAGCATATTTATAACTATGCAGATTAAGAACAATCATATTTAGATGAGAAATTAAACAATACAGAAACAAATTATTCACTTGGTAATTTATGTTACTCATTAATATATTTGGAACTTACAAGAAAGAAAAAGAAAAAAGATATACCAAAAAAAAATGAAGTTAAATCCATACCCAGCACTGTATAAAATATTAACTTAAAATGAATCACAAATATAAAACTCTTAGTCATCAAGTAGAAAGCGTAGAAAGAAACCTCTGTGACCTTAAGTTAGACAAAAGTTAAATAGGATATAAAAATCATGAACCATAAAAGAAAAAAGATGAGCAATAAGATTTCTTCAGAATAAAAAAATTCTGTTCTTTGAAAGATATTCTTAAGAAAACTGGGGGGGAGGAGGGAACGAACATACTGGAGACTTTGAGAAAATATTTGCAAATCACACAGATAAAGAACTTTTCTCCAAAATATATGTGAAAAGAACTCTCAAAACTCTACAAGAAAAAAAAATCCAGTACAAAAATAGGCCAATGATTTGAATAGACACTTCAGCAAGGAAGCTGTATGATGACAAATAAGCACTTGGAAAGTAGTTCAACATTATAACTCATTAGGGAAATGAAAATTAAACTTACAGTGAGATATTGTTACACAGATCACTACACAGGTATTATGTCTGAAATGAAAATGTTTTAGTTTACTAAGTTTTGATCAGGCTGTGGAGCAACTGAAACTCATTCAC